GCACCAATAATGACATGGGAAAATACCCGAACAAAGCTGAATACCATCCATTTATTTATATGTGTGTGTGTGTGTGTGTGTGTGTATAAACAATTTATGTTTAATTTTCCCCCCTTGCTATAAAAACGTTTACGTTGCTACTGATATTGTTGACAGCAAAAAGACTTGAACCTATTGAGTAATGTCTGTTTTGAAACTTAGTAGGTGCAAGTTATGTATATGTGTGATAATTGATTTTCTTCCCTTTGAGTGTATCCAACTTTCAGAGACTGCCTGGAAAAGTCCATGCAATTTCCTTAGCAAGATTTCAGAAGTGTTTTGCCATTGCCTGATTTCTAGGGCTGAGAGAGAATGACCAGCCCACAGTCACTTGGCTTTGTGCTTAAGGTTGGATTAGAACTCCAGGTTACCCGGTTTTTAGCCTGATACTTCAATCACAATACAAAAGGTGAATTGTGAAATATAGTAGTAGTCCAAAGGGGGAGAAACTATCGAAGTTTTGATATGCATTTAAACAGGAAGCATTAATTTCCCCTTTAAACAAATAAGGCAGTGTTCTAGAACCTTGAACTTGAAATATTCTAGATCATAATGTGCAAAGTGGTGAGGATTCCTGTATGTTTAGCTGAATAGATTTCTTTAGACAGCAATAGATAAAAGACTCATTATGATACCTTCTTCAGTATAATATTGCTATGGTGAACTTGAGGCAGATTATGTAAGTTTCTAAATCAAGCCAAATATATATTTTTTAGAATATTAGTGTAGCTTTTTGCAAATTGGTACCAACCAAGTAAATTGGATTTCTCAGAATTATTAGCCAACAGCATATCAGCCATGTTCAGCGGGAATTCTGAAATAAGTTGTCCCAGTATATCAGGCTGCAATAAACAAGCAATTTTTTATATTCTACTTTCTGTGAGCAAAAGCAAAATTTAAAGACTATATAGTTGAATATTTATTCAAGGTGTAATTTCTTATTTTTTTATCTGTTAATGTTTCAAGATAAACAGAGAGCTGTTTCTACCTATATCATTATATGAGCATTGTTATACGATACATATACTATAATTTACCATTTTTTCAACAGTACTAAATAAAATTTCAGATGAAAAGTTATTGTTTTCTAATATATATTTACAAGCATGCATAATTACAAAGCAGACGTGTTCAACTGTTGAATGTAAGCGGCCTACATATTAGATGAAGAATTCAAGAGATTGAAGTAATATCCTATTACTTCTTACATGGGAATCAACCCATTGAATCACTAGGATTTACTTGCAAATAGATATTTATAGGAGGTTATTTTATGTAAGAGATATGCATGGTGGACCTAGAAGAAATAGTGATCTAATAATGTACATTTGCTTACTGGAGATCTCTCTTCAGTCCCTTTAGCACATGGAATCCTTCACAGATACTACTGTACATTGCTGTTCTGGATGAGTGGAAGGTAAATGCATTTGTTTTTTTATGAAGTTCTGTTACAGAAGTCAATATATATACTTGTTACAAAGTAAGTGTATATCACCTCATATGTTTTTGCCACTTTCTAACTTCATCTATTTTTCTGTACATTGCTTACAAACTTAAGCTTTTGAAGAAAAAATGAAATAGGGTATTAGGCAGGGGGCCAACTCAGTACTAGAAAACTAAACTTCATGACAGGCAGCAATACCTTTAAGATGGTGCTTCTCAAACCTTTTCCTTCAGTACCCAAAACTGCATATCAGATTTTTTTTTTAACCCAATATAGATAAAACTTTTAAAGTCAATTTAAATGTCCCTGTTGTGATTGGGTAATATGTGTGTTATTATCCAAAGAATTTTTTTTTTACCTAATTTGGGGTAATTTACCTGGGTTTAGGGAAAACTTTTTTAAGCTAACAAAGATAATGTTAAATTTGCTTTGTACTAAGTCAAACATAACTGATAAACTCCATTTATACTAAAGAATTTTGTGAAAACGTGTAAGATGCTCTCCAATACAAAGGAAATGCTGTAATTTTTTTCAAAAGTTTTAAGTTACATAGTATTATAAAACACAAAATATAAAAGTAAAGAGAAGGACAGGGGGAGGGGGAGGGGGGAGGGGAAAAGTGGAAGTGAAGTGAGGAAAGATAGGGCCGGAAAAAAGAAAAAGAAGCATTGACTTCCAACCTCTGTTACAATAAAATAAGGTATTAATATCAAATCACAGCTTCTTGCTTTTCCCTAATAGTATAAATAAGTCATTTCAATAAAGATCTATTAATCTAATCTGTAAAACCCAAAGTCAGAGTTACATTCTTTTCCACATCAAGCATGAAATTCAGAAGGTATTTCCATGTGAAAACAAAAATACTTATGTTCTTTTCTTTAATCAAAGTAGTCATTTCCGCCAACTCCATCAACTTCTGCAACCATTCTTCCATGCTAGGAATTGAAGTGTCCTTCCATTTTTGCACATATAACAGTCTTTCTGCTGTCAACATGTATAATAAGAAAGTTCCAAATTTGTTCTCCAATTCTTTTTTCATGAGATCCATGCCCGGTTTAGCAAAGAGGAAAGAAGTTGTGATATGTCATGTGATGATGTGAGTTTGACAGCCCTGCTCTCTAAGGGAACAATCATTTATTAAGTTACTAATTTTCTATGTGTTACATTTATTTAATGTATGGAAATGTTGCATTATCCAGGAAACTACAGTATTGGTACAGAGTACTTGTTTGATTGCCAACATTCAGTTCACGTTTGTGTACTATCCAGAGTGCACCACAGGGAGCAGACTAGTTCCACACTCAGAAAGGTTTAATGGTGTTCTATAGCAGTCATCAGGGTCTTCTCTTTCCACTGGTATTGCCTCATACTTGGTGTTACATTGACAAAGGTCTGGCACCAGCTGGATTCATACTACCACACCATATGCTGTTATTTTCTCACGAAAGTGATACTGCTTTATCTACTTGCATGTGACATGCTTTCAAACTGCTAAGTTAGCTAGAGGCAAGTGAAGGGAGCTCATTCCACAATGCAGTGCTAGGACTTGAACCTCCAAAGCAAAGACCATCTCCAGCACCTCTAAGCCATTGAGTACCGTTTATGGATTACATTGTACATAGACACAATATGTAAAAATGTGAAGTGGATAGGCTCATACATTGTGCTAAGCAATTATATACTGTAATCATAAGTTTATTAAACTAAAGACAGATGTTCATATATTAACTAAATCATGAACTGGGCAGACTTAGGGAAAGCTATGTTGTTTTTGACTCCAGATTCTATTAGATATGTTGTTACTCCTGCCAGTTATCTTAACCAATTGGAGACGGCAAACCACAAGAAACTATTTTTGTTCGCACAGTGCCATGTGCTTCCATCTGCTGTCTTATATGGCAAATATAAAAAATGATTGAAAAGACACTCTGTTCCTATGGCTCAGGAGAGGTGGAGACCAATGGACACATACTCCTTCGACGCTCTTTCTATAGAGATATTTGAAAAAAACATATCCCCAATAATCAATAGGTATCCTGGTCATTCTGACACTTTATCTCCAGTGTTTGCTTAAGGATGAATAGACTGATTATAACACGGGTGGCTGCAGAGCAGCACTGGGGTTTCATCATAAACCTGATTAATCCACCATAGCTGTTTACACAACTAATGAAGCAAAACCTTTTGTATTACTACTTTTTTGCATTTTAGTATTTAATGACTATGGGCCTCACAGTTTAAGGATTGATATTATAATTTAGTTGGGTCATGTGTAGCTGACAGATTGGATGCCAAATTGTGATTTTAATATAGATTCTATCTGTCATTATTTTATTCTGTAATTTTTTTACTGGATATTTTTTGAGTGTTTTTATTTGTTCTGCTCTTTGGTTTTTGACTGTAATGAACATGATTTGATTTTGATTTGATACTAAATCATGAACCATGGTTTATAAATCAGTCTGGATTTATGCAGACCATACTGCACTGTAGTGTACTTAGGCATTATCACTTAATTTACTGTCCATGCTTTTTAGAATACATGAAATCTTTAACCTAAAGCATTAGGGCTTTTTGTTTAGATTTATTTTGATCCCTCTAAAATGTTATTATTTATTCTTGGTTTTGCTCCAAAATAGAATTCAAGTATTTGCCCATAAAAATGCTTTTGGGGACAATCGTGATGTGGGTGGATATCAACTGTTACTGTCTTTCGCAGTACTCAGTCTTTCTGACCCTATTGTTACTATTATTAGGTTGTCATTTCTAGTTAACAGGGGAATTCACTTGGAGAATTTAATAGCATATTATCCCAGACTTATTATTAATATGAAACATCTGCTGTTGCAGTTGAATTGTCTGCTGTATATGCACTTTTTGCATGGATTTTTTAAAAAATACTGATATCATTTTAGTTCTCTTTTTGTTAAGATTTAGAGTCTCTGAAAATAAATTGGTTGATACTATTCTCTTATATCCTGTTCTTCAACTAAATACAAGTAATTAAAATAGAAGTAATTAAAATTAGAGAACAAAGTAGAGCAACCACATACCCTATATATTATGTTATAAAATATAGTACCTGTCATGTGAGATAATACAAAAATCTTTTTGCAAACTCACCTATTTAACAATTGTCAACTACACACACTACACACATTTGTTCATTTATTTGTGTGTGTGTGTGTGCGAGTGTGTGTTTTGGGGTGTGTGGTTTTACTAATCTTGTAAAATTTCTAGCATGATAAAATGTTAACATTTATATAGAACAAGTCTGGGAGATCTTTATAACCTTGCATATGTTAACATTTCTGGAGAGCAAGGGCCTTTGTAAGTGGGAAATGATGTATTACAGGGTAAGTGATGATAGTATTTAAATGTTCCCTTTATAGGTATTGGAGGAGGTAGGATTTGAAACATTCTTTCTTTTTATTTTCAAACTAAGTACATTACGATTTTTAGTGTTTTCTACTAAAAAAAGGTCAAACTCTGGCCACCAGGTTTAACAAATCTGTTAGTATCAGGAACCATAAAAAGGGACTTTACAGCTTCATGCAACTTGGCATCTCAAGTTTTCAATCTCTGTTTAAGAAATTAATTAATTAATTAAGATTAGTAAACTTTCATAATACATTTTAGCATATAGAATTTTTTCCTTCCAATTTGTATGAGATTTCTGTTATTTACAGTCATACACAAATACAAATATACCCAGATGTTAAGATGTTGACCTAAAAATCTGGAGACTGAGTTGTAACTCTGCATTAGGTGTGAAAGCTGGCTGGGTGACTTTGGCTAGTTACTCTCTCTCAGCTCAACCCATCTCATTTTGAGGAAAATAGGAAGAGGATGAAGTAGTATGTATGTTCATCATCTACAATTGTTATAAAGTAATAACAGCGGGATAAAATAATGTAGCCTTCCTTGATTCCATGACATTCAGTCATCCTTGATTCTTCCAAATATGTCAAGATGTAATTATCACCCTAACCAATTAGGCTATTGCTAGTTTTCTGAATGCTAGAAATTGTACAATAATTTATGGCAGGGGTGCTTAAATCCGGCCCACGGGGCCAGCCTGGAAATATCAAAGGACCGGCCCGCAGTGTCTCTGGCGGCTAAAACAGGCCACATGTAATTCCCCCATGCCTCATTTTCACTCTCCATGGCCTCCTGCCAGCCCAAAATGGGCTGAAAAATGGGCCCAAAATGGCTGAAAACAGGCCAAAAACAGGCCAAAAAACAAAGCCAAAAATAGGCCATACGGCCTGTTTTCAACTGGCAGAGTGCTGCAGGATGCCATGGAGGCGAAAAAGTGCAGGGGGCTGCGCGCAGACACCCCCCCCCGTGCCCTGTTTTATCTGGCAGGGTGCTTCAGGAGGCATCTGTCCCACCTATCCTCTGCCTCCGGCTCGCAGAGGAGAACTAAAATGCTGATCTGACCCTTGAAGAAATCCAGTTTGAACCCTTGATTTCTGGTATCTGGAAATCAACAGGCTGCTTTAATTGAAGTGTCAAGTCAAATGTTTTTATTTGGGTAAAATCAATTTAGAAATACCTTTATAAGTGCATACTTTGGAAAAGACTAGGGATACACATTTCAAACATTACATGAGCTTACTTCTGCTATTAATTAAATCTTTTTTCAGGGTTTCATGCAACATAGAAAAATGTTACAATGCTTTAATGAGTCAGTTCGTTAATTTTAATGCAGCTCTTGAAACAACTACAGATTACTTTGATAAATAGCAAAGAATCATGTGCTTCCTGATCATTTTATATTTTGTTTATTTGTTTTCAATATTAAGGCACAGGCTTTTTGTATATGTATTGAAACCATCATCCAGACACAAGAGTTAGGGAAATTTTTAATAATTTAAACAATAGTCCATAAGGATACTATCGGATGGGGAAATGCTGACATTGCTGGGCACAAGAGAAAGAGCAAAACTGAAAATGATTAGAATTGGAAACATACATATTGTCCTATAAGTAAGTTTTGAACATGAATGTTACATTTTGGCATGCATTTTTATTTTAAAACAAAATTAGGTAATTATGCTAATTAAATATTTACAGATATGTCTGTTTTTTAAGAATATAAATATAAAATCACCACTAGGTGGCACCTAATTCTCACATAATATAATTGACACTGTTTTACTGTAGTTGTTACTAGCTGTTAAGACAACAAATTTAAATAACTGAAAAGATAAATGTATGCTTTTAAAATACTGCGTTAGTATTTTTCAGCACTTCTTTTCTGTAACTAATTTGCAATTATCTAAAATGTTTTGTTATCCTGAAAACAAAACAAAAAGGTAAAAAGTTGGTATAGTAATGTCAAATAACAGAAGTAGCGTTGAAAAAAATTTTTTTGTCCATAGTTACTTTTTGATATATGCATCACCTGAGCTCTTTCATCAAAAATACTTATTAGGTCCATATACAAAAATGTAAATATTAGAAACCCTCCATTAGAGGACATTAGGGTCAAGCACCTAATTATGTAGAAGATTAGAGCTCTATACATTTTAGAATAAGACAAAAAAGCAACAGTCTGTGTTTGCATTGAGGAAATACAGCAGCATAGATGGCAAGGCTCTAATTATGCATTTATCTTAATTTGAATTCAGTCTGAAGGAAAAAGAGTTTGCCAAAGAGGAACAACAGGAAAAATGAAGGTTTTTGTAACAATATATCTGCCCTTAAGTTATGAAGAAATTAAGAGATGTGTTAGAGATGCTAAAAAATGGAAGCATCAGGAAAGGTGGTGAGCACCAAAAGATGATAGTATCTCACAGTGGTGGGTTTTTTTTACATGACCAATAAATTTATAATGTAAAATTAGATTATAAATTCACATCATTGAACAAAAAAAAACACCAAATAGGTGGAACAACAATATGTTCCTCTGTTTAGTGCAGGTTCCCATTAACCTATTTAAAACTTAAACCTTTTCCACATACAACATAAATCTACTAGAGCAGGGGTAGGGAAACTTGGCTCTTTTATCACTTATGGACTTCAACTCCCAGAATTCCCGAGTGAGCCATAAAAGTTTCCCCATCCCTGGCCTACTGGTTGTGGGGGAAATCAATGTTTGACTTGAATGGGACTGTTTAATATACAAATGTAAGACATATTCTGTCCTACGTTTGTATATTAAACAGTCCCATTCAAGTCAAACATTGATTTCCCCCACAACCAGTATGCCAGGGATGGGGAAACTTTTATGGCTCACTCAGGAATTCTGGGAGTTGGAGTCCATAAGTGATAAAAGAGCCAAGTTTCCGTACCCCTGTACTAGAGTATAAATCCAATCCTGTGCCTTCAAAAGACAATAAACTATATTATATTTAAAGCAAGTTATAAATCATTTACAAATATGATTTCCATTGTTTGATTATTTTTAATTATTCTTTATTTGGGCCTTGATCAGTATTCTTTCAATATAACTGTTCTGTTAATTACTTGGGTTTTGGATTTATTATTTGTCTGCCTTGATTAAGGCATATAGTTAGTTCTTAATGGCATCAGTTATGGACATCTCTCAGCAATTCATTATCATTCTAAAATAACTTTAAATTTTCTTGAAATTTAGATGTTTAGTTCCTTTATGATAGTTTTGTATGAACCTAACAATTATTTGAACTAGAAATGAACTGCAAGTTTCATTACAACATCCTTACTTATTTAGTATGGTGAAAATTAAATACACATTCCCGAATTATTAATTAGCTATTTCCTTCTCACGTTGCCAAAACAGTTCTTTTATTTAGTAATAGGCTACGGTGAAGGGAATATTGTTGGAATATCTCTTTAAAATATTTGTTCTTTTTAAAAATATCCATTACAAAACTAAATAAACACATTACCCTTCTGATTTTAAACTGTGGAAAGAATGAAATAACAGTCTTAAAATGGAAAGAAGGCATGATATTCAGGGGAAAAAAGAGCGTTACCTGAAATGCATCTTCTAGTTGTACAGGAGGAGAATCCAAAGCGTGGGCTGTCTCCTGCTTCCTCACTTAAAGACGGAGTCAAGCAAAGTTTAGTCCAGCCCCCTTTCCACTGTGCATGTCCAGTTTTTAATGAAGGCTGATGATTGACTTGGAGAGTTCTTTGGTGCTCGTTCTTGACTGTTCTGAGTTCAGGACTAACTATCTAAGGGTGGGATTTGGATTCTCCTCCCGTACAACTAGATGCGTTTCAGGTAAGCCCAACGCTCTTTCTCAGTTGTACGGGTCGGAGAATCCAAAGCGTGGGATGTACCCAAGCTAATTGTCCTGAGGGTGGGCCAACTCCTTGTTCCGAGCCGCCATCTCCATGTGAAATCTTTGTAGCAGTCTTCTTCCAAGGATGCTTCCGCTGATGCAAATGTGTCCAGTTTATAATTTCTAATGAATGGAGATGGTGATGATCACATTGCTGCCCTACAGATCTCTTCAATCGAGGCCTGTGTGTTCCATGCCACTGATGTGGCTACACTCCTGGTTGAATGTGCCGTTATGTTACCCGACAATTGCAGTGATTGGCTTTCATAAGCTTTTGTGATACATGTCTTGATCCATCTGCCTATGGTAGACGGTGAAACGCTTTGTCCCAACAAACTCGGTCTAAATGAAACGAACAATGCTTCCGTTTTTCTAATGGGCCTTGTTCTCTTAATATAAATGGGTATAGCTCTCCTAACATCTAAGGAGTGCCACTTCCTTTCTAGGCTATGGACTGGTTCCGGGCAGAAGTCTGGTAGTACTAACTCTTGTGCTCTATGGAACGTAAGATTGATCTTTGGGATAAAGGTGGGGTTTAATCTTAATACTACCCTATTCAGGTGAACTATACAGAGGTCCTCCCTCACGGATAATGCTGCCAACTCTGAAATTCTTCTGGCTGATGTAATGGCTATTAGGAAGGCCACCTTAAGGGTGAGTGAAGGTAGTCCTACTGACCTCAGAAGTTCAAAGGGCTCAGTCATGAGCGCCCTTAGCACCCTTGTCAAGTCCCAAGTAGGGTACCTGTGTATCACTGGTGGCTTTAGATTGGTTGCTCCCCTGATGAACGTGCGGATTAGGGGGTGTCGTGAGAGGGACTCTGAGGTCCCGCAACCCAACACTGAAGCTGTCTCCTTAAGGTGTTAAACCCTTAAGAGTTAAACCCTTCTCCAGGCCTTCCTGGAGAAAATCCAGCACTGTGGTTTGATCTATTTGTTTCTTGGAACACTAGGTTCCAAATGTTCTCCAAGTAGCATCATAATTCTGTTGGTTGATGGTCTCCTGGATGCCTGGAGTGTCTGTATTACTTTGTCTGAGCACTCTAAACGCTTTAGCGTGGTCCTCTCAAGTGCCATATGGTTAGTTGCAGCCATTGTGGCTCTAGGTGTTGTATGGCTCCCTGACTCAGTTCTACCTTGTCTGGGGGAATTCTCCATGGTCTGGATACCGACAGATCTATGAGATCCACGTACCAAGACCTCCTGGGCCAGTGAGGTGCTACCATTAAGATCTCCGCCCCCTCTTCTATCACTTTCTTGATTACCTTTGGTATCAAGGGGAGTGGGGGAAATGCGTAAAGCAGCCCCTTTGGCAAAACTCCTTGGAGTGCATTGGTTCCTTCCGCTCCCTGTGTTGGGAATCTCGAATAGAATCATGGGAGTTGTGCATTTGCTGGCATCACAAATAGATCCAGGATTGCTCTCCCAAATCTGTATGACAGTTCCCTGAACAGGTCCGGGTGTAGGCGCCACTTTTGAGTGGTCAACCATTGTTCTGCTGAGCCAATCTGCCTGAACGTTTTTCACTCCTGATATGTGTTCCACCCTGATTGATAGAAGGTGCATCTCCGCCCAGCGGCCCAATCGCTCTGCTTCTTGCATGAGTGCTAGGGATTGAGTACCCCCCTGCCTGTTGATATGAGCCTTGGCGGTCACATTATCTGTCAGGATCAACACATGCTGTCCCACTATCACTGACCTGAAGGCCCTTAGAGCCAGATGAGATGCCCTGAGCTCCAACCAGTTGATGTTGTTCTTGAAGTCTGACTGAGACCACTGACCCTGTGTAATCTGACTTCGACAGTGGGCTCCCCAGCCTACTAAACTTGCATCTGTTGTGATAGTCAGTCAGGTGGGTTCCTTGAACCCACATCCCCTCGTCACTACAGGTGATCTCCACCACTGGAGTGGGGACTAGTACCTTGGTTCCTGTATTGCCCTTGCCTGCTCTCTGGTAAGGTAATAGGAACCACTGCAATGTCCTTGCATGCAGCCTGGCCCAAGGTACTATCAAGATGCACAATATCGTTTTCCCTAGTATTTGTAACAGCAAGTCCAGGGACACCCCCGGAGCTGTGCTCACTTTATTTATTGATGACCTTATGCTGTCCTGCCTTTCCTGTGACAGGTAAACCTCGCAGGAGTTGGTGTCTATTACAGCTCCTAAGTGTTGTAATCGCCTGGTCGGTTCTAAGTGGCTCTTTTCAAAATTCACCGAAAAGCCATGCTCTTGTAATGTCTGTATCATGGTTTCTAGATCGCTCTGTGCTCTTAGAGTCGATGTTGACTGTATTAATATGTCATCTAAGTAGCATTGGACCCGTATGGGCTTTGTCCTGAGGAAGGCTGCTACTGCTGCCAGGACCTTGGTGAAAGTCCTTGGTGCTGAGGACAGGCCGAATGGTAGAGTCCTGTACTGGTAGTGTCTCCCTGTGTAACAAAACCACAGGAACTTCTGATGCCTCCTGGTAATCGGTATGTGCAGATAAGCATTTGTGAGGTCTACTGATGTCAGGACATCCCCCTCCCGTATGCTCCCTAGTATAGCCTACAGAGACTGCATCTTGAATCTCCTGTATACTATGTTCTTGTTTAGTAATTTGAGATCCAAAATTGGTCTCCACCCCCTCCCGACGCCTTCTGCCCAACAAACAAGTTTGAATAGAACCCTTGTCCCTGTTCATTCTCTGGTATCATTTGTACCGCCTGAATGCCCAGCAGATGTTGAACTGCTGTTTCCATAATTACCCTTTTGGTTCTGTCTCTTGGCGTCGGGTATCTTCTGAATGAGCTTGGGGGTATGGAGATGAATTCCAGAACTAGGCCTTTTCTTAAAGTGTCTAGGACCCACTTGTCCGTTGTAGTCAACACCCATCAGTCGGTGAATAGGCCCGGCCTCCTGCCGATGGGCGCATTGTTCCGGCTGTCACTTTGTATGCCGGAATGCCCTGCCGGTCGAACTTCAGAAGGAGTACCTTCCCTGGGACCGTTGTCCACCCCATCTCTAAATCCTGACCTATCTGGATGAATAGTAGGGGTCTGTGTGTACTGTCTCTGTGTATATGAAGAGTGGCTGAAGCCACCCCCTGAGATAGGAAAGGGCTCTTGCCGTGTATATGGAGAAGGTCACTTATCTGCCTGACCAAGTTCCTGGGTAAGACCTTCCTCTTGTCCTTGGTTTCAATCAGTAATGGCTCAGTGATCTCCCAGAAAAGTTTGTCCCCTTTAACTGGAGCTGATGCCAGTTTCCATTTATGTTTCAGATCTGCCTGCCAGTGGTGGAGCCAAACAAGTCGCCTTGCAGCTACTGAAGCCGCAATGGCCTTAGTTGCGTACTTGACCCCATTAAGTGTGGCGTATGCTATGAACTCTGTTGCAGCAGTTATTTTGTTCAAATCCTGTTGCAATCGAAGATCGCCAGGTGGCATCCTTTCCTGCATCTGTTCAATCCATATCAGGACTGCTCTGCTGAAAAATGATGCCTTGGATGTTGCCTT